TTTGGGGGCGTAGGAATTTTGGGACTTGGGAATTTGGGGGCTTGAGAAGTTGGAGACGTGGAAATTTGGGGACGTGGGATGTTGGGGAATTAGGAATTGGGGCGCGTGGGAATTTGGGGACTTGGGAATTTGAGGACTTGGGAATTTCGGGGCTTGAGAAGTTGGGGACTTGGGAATTTGGGGGCGTGGGAATTTGGGGAAGTGGGAAGTTGGGGACGTGGGAATTTGAGGACGTGGGAATTTGGGAACTTGAGAATTTGGGGACTTGGGAATTTGGGGGCTTGAGAAGTTGGGGGCGTGGGAATTTGGGGACGTGGGAAGTTGGGGATTTGGGAATTTGGGGACTTGGGAATTTGGGGGCTTGAGAAGTTGGAGTCGTGGAAATTTGGGACGTGGAAAGTTGGGGACTTGGAAATATGAGACCTTGGGAAGTAGGGGATTTGAAAATTTGGGGTGTAGGAATTTGGAAATCTCGGAACTTAGGGTATACTAATTTAGAAATTTAGAAATTTGGTATATTTGAACTTGGAGTATTATAATTTGAAACATAGTACTCATCACACAATTAAACTTCACAATACTCCACCATCACCCACACCTAAAAATACAAACTCCCATTTAAACTTCCACGAAGAACCAAATAAAAGATCAAATAAAAATAGAGGGAAACACAAGCCGGGTGGGGCGACCCGCAAAAACCCTGTGCTCTTTCACAACCCTGATTACCACCTAGGTGTTCTAGCCCGAATGCCATAAGAAACTGACAGATTAAACGTTCAAGGCGGTAGCATCGAGGTTAAGGCCACCCAGAACTACGCCTCGTACGCGTTCATCAGCAAGGACTACGCCAAGTTCCGCAAGGAGACCAATTTCTTTGTACGTTTCTCATCGAATTCTTTTACTCACGACTTACTTCACTTCCATGGATCATTCTGTTGCGAAGCAACTTTCAACTGTCCGTAGATTCCGCTCTTCGTTGCAACTGCGTTCCAGCCTTGCTTCGTCTGCTTTCTTCCTTGGTGTTCTTACTTTTCATCGATTCATTTCGAACTTACGGCTGTGATGGCTATGGGAATCCTATTTAAATTTCTGTAAGTTTATATTCTTTTTCTTTTGGGAGAGAACTGACTTTATTGCTTTCTGTGTTGACAATAAGTTTTGATGCAAGAGTTGATTTGAGTGAAAGATTGAATGTGACAATGTTTGACTCTGTTGGAGCAGGTGTAATAATTAGCTTTATTGCTTTCTATATTGACAACAATTTTAAATGCAAGAGTAGAATTAAGTGGAAGATTGAAAGTTTGACTCTGTTGGAGCAGGTATAGTAACTAACTTCATCGCTTTCTATGTTGATAACAATTTTAAATGCAAGAGTAGAATTAAGTGAAAGACTGAATGTGACAAAGTTTGACTCTGTTAAAGCAAGTATATTAATTTTAAAGACATGAATCTGAAGAAAACGAATGAACCATAACAAGTTCATGGAATAAACTTAAAATTGCACCAAACGGTTGCAGCAGACTATTCCCATCAACCTAAATTATTTTCTCCAGTGTAACTAATAAAACTGGCAACTAATAAACACTGTAACCAATAAAAATTAATGCAAACTCCTACCTTTCTGAATGAATGAAATCCTCAAAGTTACTAACTCAATTACTAACCCAGAAGACTAACATCTAAAAAGACTCTCTTTGAAAGTAACAGTCGTGGTTGTCAGACGAAAGCATTCGAACAAATGATCGTATAATTGTTTGGGTGCAACAGAACGCTGACAGCATCGTAACAAACACGACTGTCCAATTCAGAGAAGCTCAGATCTCTGACTAGGAATGCATTCGGTTGCGTTCCTCGACTAACTAAGTTAAATGTCTAACCGGCGTCCATTTCGCCAGGATTGCATTAATTAAATTCCGTCCTGGTTGTAAATCACGTAGCCCGCTCGTGAACGAACCTGTACCTGTCTTTTATGACGATCGATGACACGAGGAATCTTTCCGGAGAATCCGGAACACCAGACACGTCGATTCGTCCCTTTATTCGATTATTCAACGTATTTGTTAGTCAAGTTTCCGAATAACAAATTCGTTTATCAATCTAGGTGACACTCTGCTCGTGTGTTCACACGGTTTCAATTTTCTGTCAGATTCCGTTTGTGCAAAATTTATTATGGCTACATTGTAGAATCGCAATGGCAACTTTAAAATTCCATGTAGTTTTTGACAATTTTTGCAATTTTTATCTTTGAGAAATGTTGGTATTTTTAATTTTAAAAACGTTTATTTTAGCGTTCTACATATTGGATTTTGTTATTTTTCATTTTTGAGGGGTTAAGTTTTCTTGAAAGTTCATATAGCCACATTTTTGATAATTCTTCTACTTTTCTTTTGTTATTATCAATTCCTAGTTCAGTTACTTTATTACAAAGAAAAATACAATGAACTTCGACTTGGAATATTTTTTAAAATTTCTTCAGACTTCAAATGACTTCAATGATTTCGATAGATAGCAGTGAATAAACCCTATGAAGGGTTATAAGAAGTGAGAAGTGTATAGGGAGATGCTGAATTGCAAAGCTATTATTCTTCGTAATGATCGATCACAATTTCGCAAGATTGACAAGAAATGTTTTGCATAGCCGTCGGTCGATCAAATAACGAATCCTCCGGTGGAAGGACGAGGTCATCGAGTGGTCGAAGAACGAATCGATTCCAGCACGAGGCAAGTGGACGAGGAATCTTCGATCGCGATCGATTCAACGTCCTCTTGGCCTTCCACGTTCGAGACCGATCTGATGGACAATGAGATTCTGGAGACCGTGGACTACGTTAAGTCTAGTCCACAAATTGTCACTACCACACAGTCTTCCTCTGAAGAGGTAATTTTAACATTATCAAATATCTTCTGCACAAAATACGATACTTGATAACGTACTTCCGTTTCATGTACAAGATTTAACTGCATTCGGTAATTTTGTGGAAAGTCACTTTTGTATAGTTAAGTTTTAATATTTAAAATTTTTATATGGTTAGATTTGTAATTAACTCATTTGTAACTCATTTAAAAGTTTTGTGTTGTTACAATTGTACAGTTGAGAATTTTGTATTATTGCATTTGTGCAATTGAAAGTTTTGTATTATTACGTTTGGAAATTTATAATATCTACATTATTCCATTTGGACTGTTCGAAATCTTTGCGTTAATACCTTCAGATATTTGCAATTATTATAATATACTATACAGTGTACAGTGTCATTAGAGGAAATACTGTCGGTAAAAATAAAAATTTGGTCAGTGCCATCTAGCGGAATGCGCCCAAACCTTACTCCTGGTAGCAGGATCGCAGGAAAGCGAGGAGGTATCCGGAGTAATAAGAGGTTTCCCGCACACTGTTACGCGCATGCGCGGTAGAGCCAGCGCTGCGCCAGCTATCCAACATGGCGTCTCACGGAGCACAGCAAATTAATGACGGATTCATTTATTAATTACTCATTTCCTCTATACAATTCACATACTTCTATGATTTAGAAATGGACTTTAGGTTTTTCTTAACATTTTCGTTCAAAATTCGCTAACAATATCCCGTTCTGATACTATTAGTCTTCACAATTACTAATAAACAATTATTTTCTTAACGAATATTGCATTTAGAAAATATATAAAAATTCATAGATTACTTCTTAACTATAAAAGTGCATAAATTGTGCTAAGAAAATGCGTAATTAATTATTAGGAACCATTAGTTCGGCCATTATGGGAGTCGCCATGTTGGAGAGGTGGCGCGAGTGTAGCTGCGACGCCATGTTGAAAGAGGTGGCGCTAGTCTCGCTGCGCAGCCATGTTGAAAGAGGTGGCGCTAGTCTCGCCGCGCAGCCATGTTGAAAGAGGTGGCGCTAGTCTCGCTGCGCAGCCATGTTAAAAGAGGTGGCGCTAGTCTCGCTGCGCAGCCATGTTGAAAGAGGTGGCACCAATTTACCTCTGCCGCGCATGCGCGTAACACTGCGCAGGAAACCTCCTGTTACTCCGGATACCTCTTCGCTTTCCTGCGATCCTGCTACCAGGAGCAAGCTTTAGGAAACATCTCCTAGATGGCGCTGATCTAATTTTAACTTTTCTCTTGAATGATGCATTGTACTGTTTAGATTCGACGATATATAAAATTTTTATTTTATTAAATATAGATGTTTGGAATTTTTACGATACTATACTTGAATAATTTAAATTTGTATGTTAATGTATTTAAACATGTGAAATTATTATGTTATTATGTTTGCATGTTTAGAATCCTTCAACTATTGAACTGTAATTTTTATACAATTACAATTTAAACAATTGTAATTTTTACACAATTACAATTTAAACAATTGTAATTTTATACATGTACATCCTCCAATTCTATATACTTGAAATATGTACCTCACCTTTTTTCTTCCCAATATACAACAGAGGTGTTTGTAAATAATTGAACGAATATTTTACGCTCCTCTCACTGTTAATATAACAAAGCCGAAAAATCGTAAATGAATGTTAATTAACAGTGGATTAAATGTGGATTAACAGTGGACGACAAGCGTGGAATCGACGACCCTGGAGGCGACTTTATCCAGCAAAGAGGACGATCTCGCGAACGACTCGTCGACGACTTTCTCGTCGAGCACCGTCGACGAGTCAACGATCACAACGACCGAGAGTCTGTCGTCCGTCGACGACACGACGACGGAATCGACAACCCTGTTACCGGAAGCGAGCGGAAACGATACCGTGACAGAAGAGGAGAAGAAAATCGACGTCACCGTAAGGAACGAGAATACGACACAGTCGAGCTCCACGAACGTCGAACTTGAACAGGATCCTCAACTCGTCAATTTGACGGTTAGTGTGCAGATAAGTCATTTTTGCATAATAAACAATTGTTGCATTTTCAAACACACTTTTTCGTACGTGTATCGTTCACATGCTTTCTTTTTTGAAAATACTCTTTCAAGATTTTCAAGTTGTTTCATGTATGTGAAATTTATTGAATAATTTGTCTTTTGAATTATTATTATATACAATTGCTAATGCTATTTATATATGTATATTCTCTATATAGAGTAATCCACAAACAGGACAATTTAAAAAGGCCTGAGATGTGGTTGAAATTATTAAAACATTTAGAGAAAGCCATCTTGCATCTTCAAACACTTTTTCGTAGATGCATTGTTCACGTGCTTTCTTTTTTGAAAATACTCTTTCAAGTTTTTCAAGTTGTATCACGACGTGAAATTTATGGAAGAACTTGTCTTTTGAATTATTATTATATACAACTGCTAATGCTATTTATACACAATCTCTATATAGAGTGATCCACAAACATGACAATTTTAAAAAAAGTCTGAAATGTGGTTGAAATTATTAAAACATTTAAAGAAAGTCATCCTGCATCTTTTATAATTTTATTACAATTTAAGCTTGTCATTTTACACAACATTGTATATGTTATAACGTATATATATTATAATGTATAATTAATTTAAGCTCATACAAAAGACTAGTACGATAAAAGTAGAACCAAGAGATCCCCTCCATATCCTCTACATAAAGATATCAATTCGTCCCCTTTACTGTCACGTCAATCGATCGATTAACGTCCGATTCGGACAGAACTATCGCTATCAATCTCCATTGAAACGAAAGCACCTAACCTGTTGCGATCAGGTGGATCCGGTGGTTACTACAGAGTCAATGGGCAAAGGAGGATCCGTCAGCAAAACGTCATCCACCGTGCTAATGCCGGACGACATTTTGGTGATGAACGTGACTGTGAAAACGAACGTCTCGGTGGGTCACATCCAGGGTGTCACGATAAACCCTGTTAGGTCGATTCCGCCGGACGTCGAGGCCATACTGAACATCACTCATAGACAGAAGGGCGAGGAATACGATTACGATTACAGCGAGCCAACGTTGCCGCCATCTTTACCGAATGTCAGGTAAGGTAAATAGCAGTCACTCAAAACGGTCAACTAAATCTACGACTAAATCTAGGACTACATCTAGGATAATAGACTTGATCTTGGGAAGAGTTCTGTATTTTCTGGGATATCAAGGTTTGGTGAACGTGGAATTCGTTTGGATTGATTAGGATAATTTGGAGGATGTATATAGACCACTAGATCCCAAATTCCCACGCTTCCAAATTCCCACGTCCTCAAATTTCCACGTCTCCAAATTCCCACGCCCCCAAATTCCTAAGTCCCCAAATTCCCAAGTCCCCAAATTTCCACGTCCCCAAACTCTCACGCGTCCAAATTCCCACGTCCCCAAATTTCCACGCCTCCAAATTCCCACGCCTTCAAATTCTCACATCTCCAAATTCTCACGCCCCCAAATTCCCAAGTCCCCAAATTTCCACGTCCCCAAATTCCCACGCCTTCAAATTCTCACGTCTCCAAATTCTCACGCCCCCAAATTCCCAAGTCCCCAAATCCCCACGCGTCCAAATTCCCACGTCCCCAAATTTCCACGCCTCCAAATTCCCAAGTTCCCAAATTTCCACGTCCCCAAATTCCCAAGTCCCCAAATTTCCACGTCCCCAAATTCCCACGCCTTCAAATTCCCACGTCTCCAAATTTCCACGCTTCCAAATTCCCATGCCTCCAAATTCCCACGCCCCCAAATTCCTACGCGTCCAAATTCCCATGTCCCCAACTGCCCTCGTTCCCAAATTCCCAAGAGTTCAAATTCCCACGCCCCCAAATTCATACGCGCCCAAATTCCCATGTCCCCAACTTCCCACGTCCCCAAATTCCTACGTCCCCCATTTTCCCAAGTCCTGAACTTCCCAAGTCCCCAATACCCATATCTCCAAATTCCCAAATCCCCAAATTCCCACGTCCCAAAATTCTCAACGCACCCCCAAATGATCAAATCCCAGAAATCCCAAATAATCACCCCCTGAAAGATGTCTCCCCCTTTCCATATTTTCCACAACTTTTGCACCACCCTGTACAATCTTCAAACGTCGTCCACATTTTTCCCCGAGAAATTAACAATCTCAAGAATATCCTCCAACTCGAACCTTTTTTCTCCATTTGAAGAAATCTCAGCAATTAAGAATTTCACTAATCATCGTGCTTCACCGATGCTTCAACTCGACACAGAATCTTTTGAAAGGAGCACTTTAGCCGCGCGTTTAGCGGCAACTTTTGCCTTTGCTACTTCTTGAGAGAACGTTGCGTAATTTGCCGCCGTCCGGAGAAACCCAAGACGTAGAAACACTCGAACGGTCCCCTTTAACGTCGGAGATTTCGACTCGGTGAAAAATAAGACGGTGGATTTGCACGTTTCTCGCAGGATAATTCCGTTCGTAGCGGCGGACGCTCTGGTGAAAGACAAGACGGTTCCGTCGCCTGTCACAGGATATCCGGCCGGATCGGTGGTGGTGCCGTCGCCGGAACTGCGGCCCACCGACACATCAGGCTTTTACGACATCGCCACTCAGGAAAACAGATTCAGCCCCCCTGTAGAGACGGAAGGTGAGACGTATTTTCACGCTGACCTCTTTATTGCACAAATCTTCACCTATATCGATATCCTATAATTAACTTTTGTTCTATTTATTCATTTTATTATAATTTCCTTCTTTTGTTACAGGGATGTTAGAGTATGGGGTACATTTTTTAATTTGTATGAAGAGTGATTTGTTCAGTTGACTTGACAGTTGACTTGACAGTTCTGTGCCTCTATTGACATCCACCTATAATTAACTTTTACTCTATTTGTACATTTCATTATACTTTCCTTCATTCCTTATAGAAAAAGTTAGAGTACAGTGCATATTTTTTATTCTGACTTGTATGCTCAATGCTTTGTTCAGTTGACTTATCAGTGAAGTTGACCTGACAATTTTGTGACCTCATTGACGTTCACCCATAACTAACTATTATTCTATTCATCCATTTTATTTTGTATGTTTTCCTTCATTCCTTATAGAGAAGTTAAAGTACAATGTACATTTTTTATTTTAACTAGTATGGACAGTGTCTTGTTCAGTTGATTTGTCATTGAAGTTGACCAGATAGTTTTGTGTCTCCATTAACATCCCCCTATGACTAACTTGTACTCTATTCATCCATTTTATTATATATACTTTCCTTCATTCCTTACAGAGAAGTTAAAGTACAGTGTACATTTTTATCTTAACTTGTATGGTCAGTGCCTTGTTCATTTGACTTGTCAGTCAGTTTGTCCTGACAGTTCTTTACAAAACTGTTCATAAAAATCTTTCTGGAGATTCACCTATCAACCACATTGTTTATAAACGTGATAAATTTTTTGATAAGGTGGATTTGTACCGAGAGAGCCACCCTACTTCGACGCCCCTTACCACTCCACCGACTTGAACCTCGAAATTGGCACCGGGGTCACGGTAGTTCCAGCACCGATCACCAACCCCCATCGTAAAAACGACGGTAACTTCAGAAAATATTGTCAGACTTTCAAGGCAATATCTCTACGTTATTTTGTTTCTGTTCAGCCACACACTGTCTATTCGAGAACATGGAATACCGTCATGGGGAGATTCTGCCAAGCAGCAACATCTGCGTAATTTGCATGTGTTACTATGGCGAGGTGGTGTGTTCCACGGAGAAATGTCCTCTACTGAAGATTGGCTGTCGAAGAATCAACACGGAGGAAACTTGTTGCGGGAAAATTGTTTGTGGTACTATTTCAATTATTTAACATTGAAATTTTTCATAATTAAAGTCCTTGAAATATCTTCAGTCATTTTTCTCTTTATAACGACTTCAGAGATGTGCAAAAAACTTTTTCGTGCAAAACGATAATTAGAGACATTTTTTGCTGCGAAGAGTGTGCAGGAAGATTGAAATGATCATTAACAGCACTCGCACGACTTCATTTTTTTTTATAAAACACGAAATGGAGTGATATTACATATAAAGTGAAAATTCATGAATCTCATCTGGGCGTAACGATAGTCTTTTATAAAAATATCTGGGTGTCACGTACCGGGTGGTGCAAGAATATTTAATTTTATTTGGTAAAATGTGGATGAGATTGAAACTTTGCAGATGTAAATCTTTTGACATACTGATGAGTAGATTTTGTGATATGTATTTGCTAATTGTGTCTTCCGATGTGTGTCTCACGACTATGTCTTCTGATGCAGATCTGGTGACTACATCTTCTGATGACAATGTTTTTTCATGTATATCTGATGACTATGTCTTCTGATGTTCATCTGATGATTATGTCTTGTGATGAACATCTGATGATTATGTCTTCTGATGTACACCTGCTGACTATGGCTTCTCATGTATATCTGATGATTATGTCTTCTGATGTACACCTGCTAACTATGTCTTCTGATGTACCTCTGATGATTATGTCTTGTGATGTACATCTGATGATTATGTCTTCTGATGTACACCTGCTGACTATGTCTTCTGATGTACATTTGATGATTATGTCTTCTGATGTACACCTGCTGACTATATCTTCTGATGTACATCTGATGATTATGTCTTTTGATGTACATCTGATGGCTATATCTTCTGATATGGTCTTCATAACTGTCTTCTGATGTACACCTGATAACTGTATCTTCTAACTGTGTTTGAAGTTTGATACCTTTATACAGACACAGATCTGATATATATCTGATGAACACCTGATGACTACGTCCTTTGATGTTCATCTAATAACTATGTCTTCTGATGTAGATCTGGTAACCACATCTTCTGTTGCAGACCTGATGGCTATGTCTTCTGATGTATATCTGAAGACTGTATCTTCTAACTACATCTGAAGTTGAACACCTTTGTACAGACACAAATTTGATAAATATCTGATGAACACCTGATGACTGTCTTCTGATACACATCTGATGATTATGTCTTCTGATGTATATCTGATGGCTGTCTCTTTTGATATACATGTGATTATTACGTCTTCTGATGTATATTCGATAGCTATGTCTTTTGATGTACATCTAATGACTTTATCTTCTGAGATACATCTAATGTCTGTCTTAACTATGTCTTCTATATATTTGCTAACTGTATCTTGTAAAATGCGACGTTGAAAAAGTGAAAGATGACTTTCTTGGCTGAAAATTCCGGTGAATTTTTACAGTGGAAGCCAAAGAGTCTCCAACACTGGTGTTAGATCGTGCGGACGCGACGGCTCCATCGCTCCATCAGCCTATCGTATCACCAGATCCGTTCCGTGACGTGATCAAGACGGAGCCAGCCCCGGATTTGCCGTCCCTGATCGAGGACATGATCCCGTACCTGGTGGAGCACGGGATTACCACCCCCGGCACGACCACCTTGAAGCCTTTGCAGAGCCAGGCAACCAATCACCAACAACACCCTGCGAATTTCGATTACATGGACAAGTTAGCGCTGATACGTCCGCCCTACAGACCCGAGGAGAGTGTCGACAGTCTGGTCGCCAAGAACAAGTTCGCCGTCAATCAAGATAGCCAACTGAACGACGGAGTCGTGTCGGCTTACAACTCGAAGGAAGATCAGAGGAACCACGTTTCGGAACCTCCGTTCGATAAAATTAGCTCGACGCTGAATCACAACGCGAAGAAACAGGAGGATTCCGGTTACAACGTCACGGAACCCACTTTTGCGAAATTGAACGCTTCCAGAAGAAACGACAGCGTCGAGGACTCGACGACCAGGGTTCGGTCTACCACAAAACCTTCGCAGGACCTGGAGGAACCCATACTCTCTTTTGATAGTGTACTGGATCTGCTGTTCTCTTCGGACGCGGTGAATAACAACCCCATTATCGAAAATACGAGGATGCCAGAGTCGACCACAACCAGCAGGCCAACCACGAAGCTGAAAAGCTCTTCTGAACCAGCGAAGAGCACGGGACAACCTGTCACGGACGCTGCGACTGCCTCGAAGGTCCTGGAGAATGAGATTCCTGTTTCTGTGTCGAGTTTACTGAAATTGGCAGGATGTAACATTTATGGTAGGATGTACCGCGTTGGAAGGATCATCACCGAGCTATCTGGACCCTGTCTAGAGTGCAGGTGCACCGAGATCGGGGTTCAATGCAAGCAGCTGCAGTGTTGATCGATGGTCGGTTGTTGGAAGGCTGTTTCCAGTGCGATTCGGTTCGTTTGAATTTGCAGATTTGTCGTGTTAGAAAAGTACAAAGGTTTTGTACTTATTAGATTTTGTACTAAATTAAGCTTTTTGTGTCACACTTTGGGCTGAGTACATGTTTGGTCATCGACTACCCTCAGCAACAACTTAACTAACCTTGAAGGATGACGTTAAATTTGTCCTTTGATGAATTGATCAGTCACAGAAAAATGAGATGTTTCGAATATTAAATAAAAAAAGAATCTGATTCTCGTCGAACCCGAATCATAGCTCTCTGTTTCGTTTTACGAGTAGATTGTTCAAAAAACAGTGCCACGATCGCTGAAAAATTTCGAGTATCAGGGAATACTTCATAGCCATAATTTGGAGTCGAGCTTTCAATTATCACGTTCCCTGCGGCGGGATCCTGCGATCTCAATTACGGAACTTCCGACTCGCGTGTTATAGTCGCGAGGAGCAAAGAATGTAACATTTCATCCTCTTATCATGCCAGCGAATCCTTCCTCTCAATTATCGTCCAATTTACGTAGTTGAATTTTATCTTGCTATTTATTACTTTATTTCGTGAAAATGTTTTTAGTTAGCTGCTTTTTCGAAGATCAATGGTGGTTTAAGTGACTTTTCAACTTTAACCATCGATCATTCAAACAATGTTCAGTCTCATTAACTACTTTAGGATCATAGTTGGACTGTTCATTTATAAATGACGTTACGGATATAAAATATGAATTAAATTAGACAGAAAGTATTGTTGGATTCTAAATTCTTTTTCACGTTTCACAGTAAATTAATTTAGACTGAAATTACAAATCTTAACCTAAACTTCTTAACCTATAATTTTCTAGACATGTGAAGTTACTCATTGACGCCATCTTGAGACAAGGTTAAAGTGTTAGGTTAGATTTTGCATTTAGTTATCCTTGATTTTGCAGAGCATAAAATACAACACAGAATTGCTATGAAAATATGAAAATGATTTGCTAATTTTTTAACTGCAGTTACGATATTGTAGAATGTTAACTGTTTGACCTATAATTTTTCATGAAGTTGTGTCATTCACAGCTAATTATTGCTACAACGTTAGCTCAACTGAAGAAAGTTAAAATGTTAAGCATATTTTGTTTTCAACAATCCCTGATCATACAGATAACAATTAAATTTGAACCTAAAATTCAATTGCAGTGAAACGAGTCTAGTTCTATTCCAACTTCAGTGTGCGTCACGAGTGCGTCATTCTAAACTTCAATATGAATGTTAAAATTAAAACTAAAATATTTCATTATCATCAGATAACCTTACACGAAAGAAAGTTCAGTTTTTTCGAAAGTTCGCGCAGTTTTTATTAAGAATAACTTCTTGCGACCAAGAGTGACCTTTTTCAATTACTCGGCGTAAAGTGTCCCATAAAAGAAGAGACGGGATTTCTTTTTATTCTAACCGTGTCGTTGACCATCTCATAAACGCTCGTTGGAAAGGATCTACAACCGTTGGAAGATCGATCAGGATGTAATTGTGAGGAATAGCCGTTTCGTGCTCGGCAAGGATAAGTGGATAAAGACGGAAGTTAGCAGGCTGGCCGGGTCCTTCCGCTTTAACGGGAATTATCCTGGGATGGCGGTCGGTGTCCCGTTTTGATTTATCCGTGCAATTTATCTGAGCCGATTAAATGCAAAAGATACGAGCCTTGGGGCCGTACTACCACGGACACCGAATTATCTTGTTAAGTCAACCCCGATTTTCTCTCAAGACTTTACAAATTAACGATTTTATGCAATATACAGCATAATTACTACCAGAGAGGTCTCTACTGTAATAAATCATCGAGTTTTACTTCGTAACTTGTAATTCTCTTGGCACAAACTGTTTTTACAAATTACTTGTTAACAAGCATCATATGTGTGTCATATTTCCACATGTGTGTTACACTGTCACATGTGTGTCACACTGTCATTCTAAATTCTTTTTCACGTTTCACAGTAAATTAATTTAGACTGAAATTACAAATCTTAACCTAAACTTCTTAACCTATAATTTTCTAGACATGTGAAGTTACTCATTGACGCCATCTTGAGACAAGGTTAAAGTGTTAGGTTAGATTTTGCATTTAGTTATCCTTGATTTTGCAGAGCATAAAATACAACACAGAATTGCTATGAAAATATGAAAATGATTTGCTAATTTTTTAACTGCAGTTACGATATTGTAGAATGTTAACTGTTTGACCTATAATTTTTCATGAAGTTGTGTCATTCACAGCTAATTATTGCTACAACGTTAGCTCAACTGAAGAAAGTTAAAATGTTAAGCATATTTTGTTTTCAACAATCCCTGATCATACAGATAACAATTAAATTTGAACCTAAAATTCAATTGCAGTGAAACGAGTCTAGTTCTATTCCAACTTCAGTGTGCGTCACGAGTGCGTCATTCTAAACTTCAATATGAATGTTAAAATTAAAACTAAAATATTTCATTATCATCAGATAACCTTACACGAAAGAAAGTTCAGTTTTTTCGAAAGTTCGCGCAGTTTTTATTAAGAATAACTTCTTGCGACCAAGAGTGACCTTTTTCAATTACTCGGCGTAAAGTGTCCCATAAAAGAAGAGACGGGATTTCTTTTTATTCTAACCGTGTCGTTGACCATCTCATAAACGCTCGTTGGAAAGGATCTACAACCGTTGGAAGATCGATCAGGATGTAATTGTGAGGAATAGCCGTTTCGTGCTCGGCAAGGATAAGTGGATAAAGACGGAAGTTAGCAGGCTGGCCGGGTCCTTCCGCTTTAACGGGAATTATCCTGGGATGGCGGTCGGTGTCCCGTTTTGATTTATCCGTGCAATTTATCTGAGCCGATTAAATGCAAAAGATACGAGCCTTGGGGCCGTACTACCACGGACACCGAATTATCTTGTTAAGTCAACCCCGATTTTCTCTCAAGACTTTACAAATTAACGATTTTATGCAATATACAGCATAATTACTACCAGAGAGGTCTCTACTGTAATAAATCATCGAGTTTTACTTCGTAACTTGTAATTCTCTTGGCACAAACTGTTTTTACAAATTACTTGTTAACAAGCATCATATGTGTGTCATATTTCCACATGTGTGTTACACTGTCACATGTGTGTCACACTGTCATATGTGTCACATTGTCGCATGTGTCACACTGTCACACTGTCACATGTGTGTTACGCTGTCACATGTGTGTCACACTGTTACACGTGTGTCACACTGTCACATGTGTCACATTGTCGCATGTGTCACACTGTCACACTGTCACATGTGTCGCAGTGTCACACTGTCACACTGTCACACTGTCACATGTGTCACACTGTCACATGTGTGTTACGCTGTCACATGTGTGTTACGTTGTCACATGTGTGTCACACTGTCACATGTGTCACAGTGTCGCATGTGTCACACTGTCACACTGCCACACGTGTTACACTGTCACATATGTCACACTGTCACATGTGTGTTACGCTGTCACATGTGTCACACTGTCACATGTATTCTCATACGAATAACGTCATTAATTATGTAGTTCGAAATATTTACTTGAAAATATTAGACAACTCTAGTGAAAATATTCAGAAATAGAATTTTTTGAAATAAATTTAAATTACAAATTACATAATAAAATTTTCAACTGCATTATGGTAAACGTGTCAAGCTTATATCCTATATGTTTCATAACCAAAATATGTAGAAGTGAATATGTTTTATATCTCACTAAATGTTATGAAAAAGATGGTGGAATCTCGCTAAATGAAAAAATGGTCAAAATTAATATTTATTGAAAAGATCGTGGCACTCTAATAACAAAATCATTGTAGTTATATTTAATCTCGTATGTTTCTCTACAGGTAATGTGTACTGCGTAGACGTATGTAGTTAATAGTCTATTGTATGATATCTATTATACGTTCATTGTATATGGTTCATACGATACGGTGCTAATTAATCGACGATCAGTTGCTTGTCGATTTGTTGCGATATTGTTGTAGTTCTATTCGTTATGGTTCAGTTGATGCAATATTGTAGATCAATTATTATCGTTGAGCAAATACAATTACTGTAGCTCTTTCATTATAGGTCGACTGATGGAATTCTGCAATTTTTTTTACGGTTCAACAAATACGATATTGCAGTTATTTTTATTTTATGTAGTTCTACAGATGCAATGTTATAATTCTTTTTTTTGTTGTAATTCAGTGAAAGCAATATTGCAGTTATTTTGTTATAATTCAACAGATGCAATGTTATAGTTTTTTTTATTTTAATTCAGCAAATACGATATTGTTCTTTTATTATGGTTCAACAGATGCAATGTTATAGTTTTTTTTATCACAATTCAACAAATGCAATATTGTTCTTTTATTATACTTCAGCAAAAGCAATTCAAAATATATAAAATATTAAAGCAAAAAGAAAAGGACAAAAATTTTTATGTGAAAGCAACAATTTCGCCAAAGCTCAACTGATCGTCGAATGCTCATCGCTTTCGAAGTTCATTAAAAATATCTCTATGTCGCGTGAACAATAAAAACCGTGTCACGAAATTCTCATCTTATCATGAACAATGTTATCGTAGCACGTAAGAGTAGCTAGTAATGTAACGTAATCAATGAAGACTATAATCGCGCCTGTACACCTTTCATCTTCTCTCATCTCCTTTTTTTCGTTTAAGAATAATAGGCTAGATGTTTAACGAAACTGATCACGAAGAAACGTGATCGTTTCTATACGTAGCAAGACCGTAAAATGCCGCACAGAGGCTTGTACTATATGATTTATTATACATTTGTCGTAATAAAAGATATTTACAGAAACTGTGTTCTTTCATTGATTCACTTTCATGGTGATTTAAAAAAAGAAGATAGTAATTAAAATTAACTGTTGTCGTCTTGTGACCATATGTTAATATGTTCATATGTTCATATGTGAATATGTTAATATTTTAATATGTTCATATGTTAATACCTTCATATGTTAATATCTTCATATGTCAATGTCTTAATATCTCCATATGTTCATATGTTAACATTTTAATATCTCCATATGTTAATATCTTAATATTTTCATATGTCAATATCTTAATATCTCCATATGTTAATATCTTAATATCTTCATATGTGAATATCTTAATATCTCCATATGTTAATATCATAATATCTTCATATGTTAATATCTTAATATCTCCATACCTTAATATTTTAATATCTTCATATGTTACATATGAAGCAACAAAACAACCACAAACTTAAAAACAAAACACCTATTAAAGAATTGCATTCTGCCAAAAAGTTAAGCTACAAGTTCTACCTGTACCTATTCACAAAATAATCCCGTTCATAAAATAATAAAAATAAAATAACATACACCTCCGTTGTTAAAAATTTTGTGCATTATGAAATGGATTTTGAAGCGTGAACACAAAACAAGGAAGCACGGTTTTACGCGGATAATCGGAAAGCAGATAAATGTAACGCTATTAACGTACGTGTTAAATTTAAAAATTAAATCATCGTATCCATTATAATTGTTATTATACCGTGCATTACACTGCGCGTCCATTTTCACTGTGCCACTCAACGTGTTAAATAAATTTTGATGAATAGTCATAATATCCGCATCGCTCGACGAAAAATTAATTCCGATTCGTTTATTTTTCAAATTTATAATATTACC